AAACCATTTCAGGTGACTACCTCTTGAAGCTCATGGAGAGAATGCCAAGAGTGTGCAAAGCAGTAATCAGAGCAAAGGGTGGCTATTTTGAAGAAACTAGAATATAAAACATGTTTTCAGTTATTTCACCTTTTTTTGTTAAGTACATAACTCCACATGTGTTCATTCATAGTTTTGATGCCTTCAGTGAGAATCTACAATGTAAATAGTCATGAAAATAAAGAAAACGCATTGAATGAGAAGGTGTGTCCAAACTTTTGGCCTGTACTGTATATATATGAATATCTCACATTTTTCACGTCACTATATCACCGTTTAGACTAATCTGGTGTTTGTAAAGTCTATAAACACAATGATTGAACAAACATTACTATCACGTTCTGAAATTAATAACATGGTTATCGTAGATTAGCAGGGCTAACCGTTAGCTGTTAGCCCCGTTAGCGGTGTCTGTAATGACTCATTAACTCTAAACGGTCCGTGAAAAAAATATTTTTTCCAGCGGATGTCTTAGTTACAACATGATTGAGCTAACTGGAGTAGTTTCATGTTGTATCCGACAACGGGAGGCTTTTTGATTTGAATGCTTATGAGTCTTTATAAGCAAGAGTGAATATACATTTTCATAATTGTGGATGGTCTTAGAGCATTATAGCTCTATAACAAAGTATTGCTGAAGATTTACTTACGTATTTTTATTAAAAATTTTTTTTTTTTTTCGAGATTTGGTTTTCCCGTGCCTCAGCATCAGCCACACCCACCTCATTAAGACAATTCAGTTCAGCTGTTCCTGATTACACACCACCAGGACATATACCCCAGCCTCACAGACACTCTCTGCCAAATTGTTCATTGCCACTCATGCAAGACTGTCCAGCACTTTTTTGCGGACTCATTTCCTGTTGCTGACCCTGCCTACCTCTGACCTACCTGTCTCAACTGATTCCCAGTAAACGCAACAGCCTTCTGTCTCCGACCTTGAGATCTGCTTCTAGGTCCTTGGTTCCTGTTTGCCTGTGGCTGCTTGGCATTACCATCTGATGATGATGATGCTACAGTGTGAGTGTTCCTGTCTGCTTATATGTGGTTTCCTGCTGTCCAGAGACTTTTCCTGTGTAGCCACACTCACCATTGTGTGTACTTCCTGTGAGTACTTAGCTGCTGGCTTCTCGATTCTCTGCCTGGCCTCGATCTTCCGTCTGCTTGTCAACTATTTGTCTGCTTGGACTATGTGCTTACCTGGTTCCTGATCTTCGGCCTCCACGACTACATCTCCTGCCTGCAGACAAGGTACTGTTGCCTGTTACTGAAGTGTGTGTGTGTGTGTGTGTGTGTGTGTGTGTGTTCTGGCTCGCATCACCACCCACTCAACTGCTTCTCGGCCCAGTTCTGCCTTCCAGACCAGCCTGGCTGCCAGAGACTTTGTAGAGGGGCTGTGCCAGTGTTAAACTGTGCTTTTTGCTGTCTACCTGCCCTGTTGAATACCTGCTGAGTTGTGACATTAAAAGACATTAACAACTTTTTCTGGTCTCCCGTGTGATGCAATTGGGTCCACAAACACAAACTGTTACATTAGCATTAATTCTGATGAGATTCAGTCGATTTATCCCACATAATGCAGTCTTTTTCTTACCCTAAAATGTTTATTGTCATTTTCTTATATCGACAACACATCTACATTGGGGCGGCTGTGGCTCAGAGATGGAGTGGGTCATCCACCGATCCTTGATTCAATCCCTGGCTCATCCAGCCCACATGTCCAAGTGTCCTTGTGCAAAATACTGAACCCCACATTGCTCCTCATGGCTGTTCCATCGGCGTTTGAGTGTGAGTGAATGGTAGCTGAGTAGCAGGTGGTACCTTTTTTATGGTAGCCTTGGCTACCAGTGTGTGAGTGAGTGAATGTGACATAGTGTAAAAGCGCTTTGAGTGGTTGGAGGACTAGACAGTCTATATACAAATGCAGTCCATTTACCATTTACATACACTCACATATTCTACTTGCACCGATATCAGGTACAATAGCAAAATATTTCCCTATATTTTCTTTTACAATTTCTGATCAGGTAATGCCTACATTTTCTCCTTTCATAATGTTCATAAATGGTTTCCAGAGCTGAAATAAAGTCTTTCCACGTGCCCTTAGAAATATAAGTTAGTCTTTCCAGACCTATGGACTCCAATAGCTCCTTTATCCTCATTCTCAATAATGGGCCATCCATACTCTTCAAACATAATACAATAGCTCTCCTGGCTTGGAGAAGTCCAACGTCCAGAAGTTCAGTCTGTTTCTGTGTTTAATTTAAGATCTCTGGATATATTCCAAGCACACACAGTTTGGCATTTAAAGGGACCTTGGTGTTAAACATCTCTGACAAACATTTTATAATATCTTCCCAGAGTTTAGAATTTTTGGACATTCCTTTAGACATTGAGTGCCTTTCTCATTCGAGCACTTGGTACAATCAACAGGAATTTTAGCAAACATATGATGCAGTCTGACAGGAGTGATGAAGATTCGCATTAAGCATTTATATTGATGTCATTTAAACCTTGAATTTTTGTCTGTTTTTTTTACATACACTGTTGTTGTTTAAGAGCCACATTCCAATCTGTCACATCAATATCTTCTTTTATATCAGTTTTACATGCATTGAGTTTGATCCCATACTATATGCCACTAATGAGCTATTTAGATACAGGGTCCTTCCCCTCCAAATCTGCAAATGTTATCTCCTCCAGTTTTGATAAAGGCCGCATGCTCATTATTCTTTTAAATTTTGATGACATGTAGCTTTTTAACTGTAAGTTTTTAAGGAAATGTTTTTTAGGGATTTGATAGTTCTGACATAACTGATCAAAAAACAGCAAAACTCTATCTACATAAAGGTCCATCATTTTCTGAATACCTTTTACACACCATGATCTAAATTCTCCATCCTTTTTACCAGGTGCAAACTGTACATTACCCCAAATAGGGGTAAATAGGGACAATACTGGCATTACACCTACATGTTTGTGTGCAGCATGCCAAACTGAAATTGTATTTTTAAGAAAATTATTGTGAGTACTTTTTTTGTGTTTTAATATCATAAGAGTATAAATACAAATTTATTGGTAGGTCTGGAATGGACTTTGAATTCTATTGCCACTGTATTTATTTGTGAAGGAAAGAGAGAGCGAGAGAGAGAGAGAGAGAGAGAGAGAGAGAGAGAGAGAGAGAAAGGCAGCAGAGGTTTTTATTTTATTGTTTACATATTCATTACGTTTTGGTGATGCTTCTTGTTATTACACTAGCCCCTCTGGTGCTGTAACACTGCAAATTTCCCCATTGAAGGAATAACAAATGATTATTTTATTAGAAAAGACTGTGGATAGGGGGTTGTAC